TGGACTTCAAAATTCAAAATTTTCATGGACTATAACCAATTTTTTTTTCAATTTTCATCCATTCTAATTTGTAAGTATTCTTTCCTCAAAACTCGCAATTTATGAGTTATAACCCGCAATTATTGTCCATTTTCACTTGCTTCAACCTAATAAAATTATTTGGCATACTTCAAATTCACAAATTTCATAGCCTATAATCCACAGTTTCTTTCTATTTTTTCATTTCGACCTAAAGGAAAATATTTGGTGTATTTCAAAATTTGTGATTTTGATGGGCTATAACCAACGATTGTTATCCATATTCACCCGTTGCGACCAGATGACAATTAAATTTTCTTTCTTAAAAATTCACTATTTGCATAGACTGTAATCCACTATTCTTATCTAATTTTTTCCATTTCAACCCACTGGTAATTAAGTTTTATTTATCAAAAACTCGCAATTTTCATAAGCTATAACCAAGGAATTTTTCCCATTTGCTCTTGTATCAACCTAATAAAAATTATTTGGGGAACTTCAAAATTCGCAAACTTCATAGCTAACACACGATTTCTTTCAATTTTCCTCTGTTTCGACCTAAAGGAAATTATTTGGCATATTTCAAAATGTACAACTTTCATGGACTATAAGCCACGATTTTTGTCCATTTTCGTCAATTTTGATATCATGGCGATTAAATTTTATTTCTTTAAAATTCACGATATTCATGGACTATAACTCACTACGTACGTACGTACGTACACATACATACATACACATACATACATACATACATACAGACACACACACACACACAAACATACATACATATATACATACATACATACATATTATCAATTTTCATTTGTTTCGGCCAAATGATAATTTCGTTTTCATTCTCCCAAAGTCGTGATATTTACAATTTAGAACTCAATATTTCTATCCATTTTCTTTTGTATTGACCTCATAGAAGTCCTTTGCCAAACTTCAAAATTCACAATTTTCATAGCCTACAACCAACTATTTTTGTCAATTTTCATCCATCTTGATAAGTTTTGTTTCCTCAAAATTCACAATCTATGAGCTACAACCCATGATTACTATCCGTTTCTGTTTGCATCGACCTAATAAAATTATTTGTCGTACTTCAAATTCACAAATTTCATGTCCTATAACACGCAATTTACTTCCATTTTCATTCATTTGGCCCGAATGGAAATTATTTAGCGTATTTCAAAATATGCAATTTAGATGGACTATAACCCATGATTTTCATCCATTTTCATGGACTGTAACCAACTATTTTTGTCAATTTTTTTCCGTTTCAACCCGATAACAATTAAGTTTTTAGTTTCAAAACCCGTGATTTTCATAGGCTAAAACCAAAAAAAAAATTTATTTTCGTTTGTATCGACCCAACGGAAATTATTTGGGGAACTTCAAATTTTCGTAAATTTTATGGGCTATAATGCATGACCTCTTTCAGTTTTCATTGTTTCCACCTAACAGAAATTATTTGACCTATTCAGAATTCGCAAATTTCATGGACTATAATCCATGATGTTTGTCCATATTCGTCTGATTCAACATGATGGCAATTAATTTTATTTCTCTAAACTTTGCGATTTTCCTCGACTATAACCCACTATATTGTAAATTTTTGTCTGTTTTTAACCTAATGTTAATTCAGTTTCTTCCAACTATAACCGTTGTTTTGGTCAATTTTTTTTCACTTCAACCTAATAACAATTAAGTTTTCTTTGTCCAAAACTCGCGTTTTCAAGGGTTATAACCAACGATTTATCTATATTCATTTGTATCAAACTAATGGAAATTATTTGTCATACTTTAAAATTCACAATTTCATGAGCTAGCACACAATTTCTATCCATTTTCATCTGTTTCGACCTAATAGATTTATTTGTCGTATTTTAAAACTTACAATTTTCATAGACTATAACCAACGATTTTTGTCCATTTTCCTCCATTTCGACATGATGACAATTATATTTTATATATTTAGAATTCGTAATTTTCATGAACTATAATCCACGATTGTTATCAATTTTTATCACTGTTTCAACATGATGGCAATTATATATTCCTTTTTAACTTACAATTTTCATGGACTATAACCCACTATTCTTGTTAATTTTTGTTCGTTTTGACCCAGGGATAATTCAATTTTCCTTCTTCAAACACGTGATTTTCATAGGCAATAACCCAAGATTTATGTATATTTTTGTTTGTTTCGATCCAATAGGAATTTTTTTGACGTATTTTAAAATTTACAATTTTCATGGTCTATAACCCACGTTTTTGTCTATTTTTGTCTTTTCGACATGCTGGCAATTAAATTTTACTTCATTGAAAATTACGATTTTCATGGACTACAACCTACTATTTTTGTCGATTTTCGTATGTTCCAACCTAGTGATAATTCAATTTTCTTTCTTCAAAACTTCTAATTTTAATGGGCTATAAACCACGATTTCTTTTCATTTCATTTATTTTGAACTACTGGAAATTATTTAGCGTATTTCAAAATTCACAATATTTCATAAGTTATAACCCACGATTTATGTTCATTTTCATCCGTTTTGACATGATGGCAATTAAGTTTTTTTCTTTAAATTTTGTGATTTTCATTTACTATAATCCGCTATTTTTGTCAACTTTTGTCCGTTTCAACCTAATGATAACTAAGTTTTCTTCCTTTAATAATCGCGATTTTCATGGCTAACCTATGATTTCCATCTGTTTTGTTTGTTTCGACCTAATGGAAAGTATTTGGCATACTTCAGAATTCATAATTTTTATGGACTACGACGCGCTATTTTTGTTAATTTTTGTCTGTTTTGACCAAATGATAATTAACTTTTCTTTCTTCCGAACTCGCAATTTTTATGAGATATAACTCATGATATTTATCCATTTTTGTTTGTCACGACTTAATGGAAATAATTGGCGTACTTCAAAATACACGATTTTCATGAGCTATCACTCACGATTTCTTATCAATGTTGTCAATTTCGACCTAAAAAAAATTATTTGGAAAGCTTCAAAATTTGCATATTTCATGGGCTAAAACTCAAGATGTTGTCCAATTTTATTCGCTTTAACTTGATGGCAATTAAACTTTTTCTTTAAAACTAACGATTTTCATGGACTATAATGCACTATTTTTGTCCATTTTGACCCAATGATAATTAAGATTTTTTCAAAACTCGCAATTTATGGGCTATAACCCACTATTTCTAATCCATTTTCATTTACTTTAACCTAATAAAATTATTTGATGTGCTAAAAATTTCGCAAATTTCATGGTATATAACTCACGATTTCTTTTCTATTTTCGTTCATTTTGACCTAATGAAAATTATTGGCATATTTTAAAATTTGCGATTTAGATGGACTATAAGCCTATAACCCACGATTTCATCTATGTTTGTTTGTTTCAACATAATGGCAATTAAATTTTCTAACATGAAAATTAATTATATCAAGGACTGTAACTCGCTATATTTGTCTTCTTTCTTTCATTTCAATCCAATGGTAATTAAATTTTCCTTTTACAAAATTGGCAATTTTCATGGGCTACCCACAATTTTTGTACATTTTCATTTGTATCGACCTAATGGAAATTATTTGGCATACATCAAAGTTCGTAAATTTTATGAGCTATAGTCCATGATTTCTTTGCATTATCGTTTGTTTCGATCTAAATGGAATTATTTGGCGTACTTCAAATTCGTAATTTTCATGAGCTATAACACACGATTTGTCGTTTATCATCAGTTTCAATCCAATGATAACTTAGATTTCTTTCTTGAAAACTTATAATTTTCATGGGCTATACCTATAACCGAAGAATTTTGTTTATTTTTATAAGTTTTGACTTAATAAAGATTTATTCGTATTCAAAATTCATAATTTTCATGGGCTATAACCATAATTTTGTCCATTTTCGTCCGTTTTGACATGATGGCAATTAAACTTTATTTCTTTAAAATTCACGACTTTTATAGACTATAACCCACTACTTTTGCTAGTTTTCCTCTATTTCTACCCAATGATTATTTAATTTTTTTTCCAAACTAGTGATTTTCATGGGTACCCACGATTTCTATCCATTTTTGTTTATTTCGGCCTCATAGACATTATTTGGCACACTTCAAAATTTACAATTTTTATGGCCTAACCCACAATTTTTGTTCATTTTCGTCTCTTTTGACCTAATGAAAATTATTATGCATACTTTAAAATTTGCAATTTTCATGGGCTAAAATCCATGATTTTTGTCCATTTTCGTTTGTTTCGACAAGATGGAAATTAAATTTTATTTCTTTATAAATCGCTATTTTATAACCTACTATTTTGTCAATTTTCGTCTGTTTTGACCTAATGATAAATAAGTTTCGCGATTTTCACAAACTATAACCCATGATATCTATCCATTTTTATTTGTTTTGACCTAATAAAAATAATTTGGCATACTTAAAATTTCGCAAATTTCATGGGCTATAACCCACGATTTCTTTCAATTTTCATCTATTTCGACCTAATGGAAATTATGTGGCATATTTCAAAATTTACAATTTTCATGCACTAACCCACAACTTTTGTCCATTTTCGTCCTTTTCGACATGATGGAAATTATATTTTATTTCTTTAAAATAAGCATTTTTCGTGGACTATAACCTACTATTCACATAGACAAGACAGAGTAGACTCGCTTGGACTTAAAAGCCTTTTATTAAAAATTCAGTCTGGCTTTTCAAAACCATGCGTCCGGTGCAAAAACTTCCAATACAAGGGACCATGAATGGAATGCTTAATTAAACAAACTAATGGACTTCTCCATGCGAATGCCTGCATGTTAAGTTGCTTTAGTATTTAATTGCTTATTCTCAGTCAACTCCAGCCTACATAATTGCAGGGAGTTGTTACTAGAGTCGCCAAATTGCTGTACCTACAAACAGAACTAATTAGCAATAGAATAAAGAGAGGTAATGTGATACCAATTTTAGCGTGATGCCCTTCTACTAGGTCTCCTAAGCCAATTTCTTCCCAGAAATCATCATCCCATCCACAGGCTCCCATACTTTGAGAATCTTTTTCATTGACTAGTTCCATATGTGCATGTCCAAGATAAGTCCATTTGCAGACAGTAGTACACAAACTTCGAGTATCATCTCCTGTTGCCCTAAGGATAATAGATAGTAAATTTTTATAAGATATGCTCCCACAAATAAATCATGAAAGAGCTACTTAGGAGTTAGGACCAATTTATACACAGCAGATACCACCTGTATGCCAACCAGTCACTTAAGTCCATCCACCTAAATGCCATGGACCAAGACTCCTGCAAGTTCTCTTTAACCCAAAGGAGCTGCAATAGCCACAAAAGCATGTATTTCTTTAGAGAAGCTTTTTTGTCTTTCAAAAAAACAGATGTAAATCAATAAATATCAAGAAAAATTCGGATATGGAAGTTTTTTTTTTAACAAAAAGATAGTTGTGAGGAGAGGTTTGGATTTGGTTAGTTGAATGGAAGGTAATAGGACACAGTATAAAGAAAATTAATCTCCTAAAAGATTTAATACATATTCACATATGTACGGTATAATCACTTACCTGATGTTGAAAATATGAAACAAAATAGCAAAAGTTAAAAGGATCAGTTGCAAGTACATAATTATTAATGCATTTAGAGAATGCTATCAGGTTGCTATAATTAATTGCCCGAGACACTTTAGAAGTACCTTAGGAGCTTGCATTTCAGGTGAGACAGCTCCACCACAGTACTGTAGTACTGGTGAGTTGCTGGAATTAATTCGTTCAGCTTGAGCTACAGCCCTATGGTCCATCCATACTATAATGTTTCTCCTTGCATCACCAGTCCATGAAACTGAAACAGGAGATCCATCTGAATCAACAGCAACTGCAAACAAAACGTATGCATAAAATACATCAAGAACTTCAGATATCCCAGATACATTCAACACCTTATATCTTGTGTATTGATACAGACCAAGAGAGCAAGTTGCAGCAAATCCTAGTCCAGTTACTTCTTTTGCTGCAACATTCGCTAAAGAGCATGCTGATCTCACTGCTGTACAGATTGAATGCCATATATCTGTTGATGATTGCTAAGTAGAGAAGAAGAGGAGAAAGGAAATAATCAATATATCAGCCATGAGTTCATTTTCTTGTACCCAAAGATTTAGAAAAAAAAAAAATCCCAAAACTACATGCCACTATTACCTCAATGCAATCCCCATCCTTCCATATTTGTATAGGGCTACTGGCTGAGCCCAACAGTCTTCCCTGTTCATCAAAAAGACCTGCATGAAAAAGCTAAAAGCATGAATAGGTGATCTAAAGAAGCAAACAATGTAATTGATTGACAGCAGCACGAGATACCATAACCATAATGAATCATTCCAGCTGGTTGGGGCGACCTTTACAAATCATTCCTTGCATATAAATCATCTCAAGGGAAATATCCAGTGTTAAGCTAAGAGCACTCAAATCCTTTCTACAACTTATATGCCTGTGGCTTTATCAGGTCTTACTATCCTCTTTTGTATCGCTTCGAAACAATTCCCTATCTTTACATAGGACCTCAGCTCTCGGATGTATATGCTCACATGTGTTAGTTTGACATCTCTCACCATGTGTAACATCATCATTTTTTAACATATTTTGAACTAGAACAAGGATCTGAGCTAAATTGCTGTGTGATGGACTGTGACTAAGATATGCGTTAATCATGTAGAACTCCATAAACACAAATCCACTTCCTCTAGTGAGATCGAGTAAAGTAGATACTTTTACCAACTATTCAATATTTGCAGGGCCTCGTTGCCCTGTGGCAAAACTGATATGGGAAACTAAGGTCCCAATTAAAGTTAACGATTTTATTTGGTTGGCATCTAGAAACTCTATTCTTACTTGGGATAATCTTAGGGAACGTAATTGGCAAGGCCCTAGTGTTTGCCCTTTATGTTTGCATGAGGAGGAATCAGCTG